CACTGGGGCAGAGCCCAAGGGATTTTATCAAAAATTTAAGGTTCGTTTGCACATCTTCACGACATTGCAACACACTCTTTCTCTTCGAGTTGTGAATAGTCAAAATTGGTGAAGAAATTGCGTTTGGAACTGACTTCATGTTGGCGTATTAATTACACTAGTGGTCGTCCAGTGTTACTAATACAAAAATATGTAATGTACAGGCTTTTCTATTTTCACCCCACGCTGTAAATAAAACATGTAATTGGAATTTATTCCATTTGTTTTGATATTCTGTTTATATTTTGTTGTTATTTCGTCACCATCACGGCAAAATACAGGGGTGCCCATCCCCCCCAAAGCTCACGTCGCAGAATCCCCCCCAAATTCGTTGTTTAACCCATGCCGGAAGGTCTGGGGGCTAACCCATAGTTATGTTTATAATGCGGGGACCCGGGGAGGGAAGGGGTGCCCCCTCAGTTCTTTAAATTTATGGGAATTTAAGCGTTTGAATCAAACTTTTAGCCCAATTTAAATGGACAATTTTCCTTTAAAACTCTAGTAGCAAACTATTTGTTAGTTTAGTTTTAATTTAAATGAGTTAGATTTTTAACATGCACACAATTTGAATCAAAATTGGCCATGTAGTTATTTTTATCCGATTTTCCAGGAGTTAATAGGTTTTAAAAGGGAAAATCACAAAAGTTGCAATAACTTTTGAACCATAATTTTTACGGCATAGAGGGTTTATACAATTTTTATCATAGTCAAAGAGTATAACATGTTAATTTATAATCAAAATCGTTCAGGCCAATTCTGAGAAAATTTTATTCATCCATTATTTTATTGGGGTTTATGGAATATCACGATTAAAATCCAAAATGAAAAAAAAACATCTGGAGAGACCATGGATTGGTACCTAAAATACCAAATTTCATCAAAATCGGACTCAGACCACAGGCGTGGTCTGTAGCTCTGTACCATACATACACACATACAGACGGACACACACATCACTTCGAAAACCACTTTTTTGGGATCAGGGTTTTTACATAAACAATTCTTTTACCATATTAAATTGTAGGGGAGAAAGTACTTGAAGTTATGTCAAAAAGTTTGAGATATTTTCTAAATTCCCTTTAATCCACTTCTGAGTTTGGTCCTTTTAAATAAGTGTAAAATATTCAGTCTCAAAAATATTACTAGGCCTAAACTTAATAGTATATTTCGTGCCTAGGGCCAAAGTGAGGTTTTGCTGGTTCGAGGTAGTTTTTAAGTTCGATACGAGGTCGAGGACTTAAAACGATCGAGAACTGCAAAACCATTTCAGTCCGTGGTACGAACGCTATTATTCACCACCCCACATTATACCCTATTACCACTAATTCACCTCAATGATAATGCACTGCACACTGATATAGTCAACACAACTACAACTTTAAGGTCATGTGGATAAATAATTTGAGGAATGAGCAAAAATAATAATAAATAGTTGCTAGGCAGCGGTGACAATAAAACAACTCTATTGCAATGCTATGGATACTGATTGTGTATTTAAAGCGGGCAGCTGATTTTGCGGCCCTAGGGATGTAAAAACCTGCTCGATCCCCAAATGACGATGACAGCTGGCATGACCTGCAAAACGTAACTTTCAGCCACCAATTAATGTACCTATATGTAAACAGTTAAAAACATCATAGTGTGGTAAAATAGTATATTACGTTACTAGTCCTGAATCCCGTGCGAGACGAAGTCGAGTATTGGTTTTTTTTATTCGAGTCCGGCCAACACATTTTGGACGAGTGACGTACGATAGTTTACGCCATACTACTAAATCCGTTCAAATCCCTATATTACCACCAACTAAAGGACTAAAAATCACTAGTCATAACCTCTAAGAGAGGTTATGTTTTTTTTATAACCACTCATTGCCACCCAAATACAGTATAATCAGCTGATTGGGGTCCGGCAAAACTCATTCCAGTACAGTAGTACTGTATAAAACCCCATTTGATTAAGGACAAACAGCTGTTTTCTGGACTAAATCCTTGCATGGGAAGTTCGTCAAAATAGTGTAGTGTGGCGTAAAAAAATAATTATATATCTATTCTAAGACTAGTAAAATTTGTTTGAAGCTCTTTCTAGATCCAAGAAAAGACAATAACAAAAATACAATTGAATTAATCCAGAATCGTGTGTTTCAGTTCTTGAAGTTAACGTAAACACATAGCCTATCAAAAACCTTAATTAAATTGTCACAGTACTGTATGTCAATTTATTCCAATGAATAAATGACCTAGGCATAATTATTTGGGAGAGCCAAAATATTATCACAAGCTTTCATGTTGTTGTTCATGTTGTAAAAATAGCAAAATGATTATAATTATCATAATACTGGTTTTTATGAATCAAGAATATATTATAATAAACAAACCTAAAAAACCATCAATAGGTCCTCAAGGCAATGAGACTATTTGAGAATGAGTTCATAATGAAAGGTAAAAACAAAAACAAACTCAAATTGCAGATACAATTTAATAAGCAACCATAATCATTTGACAGCAGTTGGCATGGAGTTGTTCTCACTGTCAAACATGATACGAGTCAGAGAGTGAAAATCCACATAAAAGTATCTATATATTTTATAGCAATTATAAAAAGATTTATTAATGAAGATAAAATGTCAAACGGGATTTTGATTGCATAATTACCCCAGTAATAAATTAAAATGAGGTCGTAAAAATTATCTGATTAATCTTTTATGTGCTTTTAACCAACCACTGGCTTGAATCCCCCCCAAAATCATAAAATCCCCCCCAAATAAAATTCTGATGTCGCATTTTGCGACATCAAACCCCCCTGTGGGCACCCCTGGCAAAATATTAAATTAATTTTTTGTGCTTATTTTTGAGCCTATTTTTATTTACTAAGGGATTCTGCACATCTACAGGCAAATATCTTTCTAACAGTATGCATAGATTTTCCCTGCAACGCACACGAGCTGAGAAAAAAGGTTTTAAAGAAACATGCTTGCCTATTAATATATAGATGGAAGATGGATAGATATAGATTCAAACAGGCCTAAATAAACCTTAAGGTTGACAGTTAAATTACAGTTTAACACCTCCCAAAATCCCAAATCCTGTTGAATGTAATTTTATTTTTACATAATATGTTTGCTGTTACTTGTTCTGTATTTAATTTAATTTATGTTGGTAATAGCTGATCATGTGTAAATTGTTAGGATTGTTTTTATTGTAATAAGAATTGTTGAATAAGTTATGTTTTTGAAAAAAAAAAAAAAAAATTTGTGTGTGTGTACTTCAGTAAAATAAAAGATAATTATTGTAACAGTAAAACCTTAGTTGTTAGTAATTTACTTTCACTTAAGTCAACAGGTTGTGGGGCCCAGAAAAATTCATTAATTCAACCATAACTGTAAAAACAAGAAGTAGGCCTAATCTTTTTGAAATTAAGAAAGACTTTATATGGACTTAAACAAGCTCCATTTAAATGGAACCAGTTGTTTACAAAATGCTTACTATAATATGGCTTAAAACAAACTCAGTCTGACCGTTGTGTTTTTACAAATGGCAGTATTCATCTTGCTGTATTTGTTGATGATGGAATTCTTGCTGGTTCAGATGAAAGAGAGATGAAGAAACTTTTGAACGAGCTGTCTAGAGATTTTAAAATAAAAACAGACGAAAACCCATCAAACTTTCTTGGAATGGAAATTTTATATTCAAGGGAAGGGATATTGTTAACACAAAAGAACTATTCAAACAGTATTCTCGAAAAATATGGAATGATAGATTGTAAACCTGTAGACACTCCCATTTGTCCAGTGAAAACGAGCAAACCTGATGAAGAAGTAAGCTGCCTGACAAAAGATTATCCTTACAGAGAAGTTGTAGGAAGTTTGCTGTACTTATCCAATAAAACCAGACCTGATCTTACACTTGCTGTGGGATTAGAAAGTAGACGTGTTGAGAATCCAAGCAATGAAGATGTTGTAAATGTCAAACGAACCTTAAGATATATTAAAGGTACTCAAGACGCAGGAATATTATTTTCAGCATCAGGAGAAAATTGCCTAAATGTATATTGTGACGCAGACTATGCAAATTGCAAGCATACAAGAAGAAGTACTACTGGATTTGTCATAATGTATGGAGAAGATCCAATAAGCTGGTGTATAAGAAGACAACCGATTGTAGCTTTGTCCAGTACTGAAGCAGAATACATTGCAGCGGCGGAATGTGTCAAAGAGTTGTTATAATTAGCAAGCAAGAGTTGAGTGGAACTAATGTTAAAAAACCTAAACATGGACAATCAAAGTGCTATTAAGCTTTGTAAAAATGGAATTTTTAATAAGCGAAGCAAACACATTGATGTTCGCTACCATTTTTTGACTGAAAATGTAAGGCAAGGTAAAATAAACATTTCTTTTGTTTCTACATCCGAGAATGTTGCGGATATGTTTACAAAACCCTTGAACAATGTTAAGTTTCATAAATTTAGCAAAGCTTTGATCAACTATCCAAAATCTTGAACAGAAGACGATTATCGAGATATTTATTTTTTTGTTTCTTATATAAAATTATAATTAAGGGAAGGTGTTGAATGTAATTTTATTTTTATATAATATGTTTGCTGTTACTTGTTCTGTATTTAATTTAATTTATGTTGGTAACAGCTGATCATGTGTAAATAGTTAGGATTGTTTTTATTGTAATGAGAATTGTTGAATAAGTTATGTTTTTGAAAAAAAAAATGTTGTGTGTGTGTACTTCAGTAAAATAAAAGATAATTATTGTAACAGTAAAACCTTAGTTTTTAGTAATTTACCTTCACTTAAGTCAACAAATCCAACTTCCAAATACCTGAAAATTCCCAACTTAAGCACTTTTAAAAAATGATTGGGGACTCCCCCTCCCCTTGGGTGACACCCCTGTTCCTCTGACTGTGCCAATATGATTGGCAACTACAACATTCCAGAGTAATTGGATGATACAAACCTTCTGTGAGACAGGCACAGTTTCAGTGCTGAGGGCGTGAAGTGGAGGTAATGGTAAACTCCTCTTTTTACCTTTACTACCCACTCCAGAGCCACTGGTGGAAGGAGCTGAGTTACTGGAAGTGGATGGAGTTATAGGCCGAAGCTCCAGTTCACAGTTTAACTCACACAACTTGCTGAGGGAATGAGGTATACCAGTGTCTCCTAAATCGTTACTTTCTTGGGAGTCTTCCTCTAGTTCTGCTTCAGTTACCATCTGAAACCAGTTGATTATTGAAACAGAGCTATAATGGTGCTGTGTTCAGTATAAATGCTGGTCCATAAAAATGAATAGAGGAGGCGCAACAATGGCCTAAGTGCTTACTTTTGAGGGAATCCAGCCTTGAGTGAGAGATTGTGAATCAGCAGGAGAAGAACCAATTTTGTGACAGAGGGATGCTCACGTAACCTGGTAGGCCACATAAGTTTATCATTTTTACAAACATGTATTTGAGAGATATTGAGAGAAATTTTCATCATGCATGACATATTTTGGACTTTTCATGATGGAAAATGGCCAACATATACGTATTATCAACACCAAACCATTGTTGTATGCGATACAGTAGACTCCCTCTTATCCGGACACCTTTTAACCGGACTACACTCGGTGGAAATTACATCTCTTTAACCAGACAATTTTTATCAGCACATTGGTTTAACCGGACTAGATTGGCAGGAAGTGGGCAGCACTGAAACCACTGTTCTCGTGGGAAAGATTTGAGACCAATGATAAATGTGTCTAAATACAATGCTCTCCTAAATTTAAGTCAAATATCACAGTAAACAGTCCATTTTAACGAGTTTTTGGGGACGTCCGTTTAACCGGAAAAACCGATATCTGGACTGGCCTTGGTCCCGAGGAGTCCGGATAAGGGTGAGTCTAACTATTAGGATGTTTAAGTTGTGCACTACTTATCTTTTAGGGTAGAAATTGCAATAAGATCAAGTTTTTTTTTATATTTGGGTTTGTCTAAATATGTAGTACTCACTAAGGTACGAGGGTTCAATCAATCAATCAATCAAATAATTATTTAAGATGGGGACGCCACTATGTCTGTATTTTAACCAAAATATGAGTGAATGATGAGTGTAGAATAAGTGGCGCGATCTTGTAGTCTTTTGTTAGTGACTAAGGCAAGGCCGACTTTTTGTCCTTTGGACACAGATGTCTAATATCCCATACAGCCAATGGCAGGTAAGGGACCTAGCCTCAAGTTTATAGTGGAATCCGAACCACATTTTTGCCTTGTAATTAAGAAATTGGTATAATTATCAGGATAGCACTGCGGATAATTATAGTACTCACTAGTATGGACGTTAATCCACATAAGGGAATATCGCATCCACAGTGCATGCCTAAATATCCACAATTCCCTCCTAGCAGCTGGATTACAGGACGATGCCACCGTTCCCATCTAACATAGAATCGAAAAAAAATCTAGTAGTAATTATGGTTGTTTTTAAAGTAAGGGCCGTTTTGTAGTATAGTTTTGTAGTTCACGTGTACACCACTACAAAGCGGCTCGCTGTTTACTCGCAACAGAATAGCGAAACACCACATGGTGAGACCATGGTGGTGATGGTGAGCAGAATCATAGACAAAAAGAATTACATATAGACCGTCAGCTGTGCTGCGATCGATTACCATAGGTTCTGGCACACAGCTGGGAGCGCCTTGTAGTTATGGCTTTAGCGCTACTTAACTATGGTGCTCCCAGCGGTGTGCACCAGAACCTATGGTAACCATGGTAACCGCAGCAAGGCTGACAGTCTATATTTAATTATTTTTGTCCATGGCAGAATGGCACCATATGCAGATCCGTAGCTAACGTATATGCTTTGCTATATGTGTTTAAAAAACTTAAAAATGTTGGAATACCCCGCCGCATGTGAAATAAGGTTAGTGGTTAGTGATGTTTTTTGACTCTAAGTAACATAGGTGCAGACATTCATTGCCAGATGACTGAATAAGTTTATGACCCTATGTGAGGGTAAAGTGCAGCAATGGTTTAGGGAGTTTAAAAATGGCCATTTCAGAAGTAATTGTTGTGTGGAACCCAGGCTTCTCAAAGAAGACCAACAAGGGAAAAGGTTAGCGAGTGTTTTGGATTTGTCGACAAATTAAATACAAATTATAGGAAAAACTGACCTGTTGAGTTTCATCAATCGATGAGGGCATTTCTTGTTCTGAGGCATTGGAGTTGCGCTGGAGACATGCCTTGAGGCAGGCAGCTAATCCATGGATCTGCAGTTGACTGGCAGACCACATGAGCTGCTCTAATCTGTCCGCCTCCACTGTCACCTCCCCTCGATACATAAAGTCCACCAGCGCAATCAGCTGACATACAAACACAAAGTCAATAATCCCATCTTCCCTCTACAGTATTTGTTTGAGACTTGGCAGTATGGCCCTATACCCACTTTTTTATTACACCGTATTGGTTATTGAATCAATACAAAACTTTAGTTACTTTTCAATATAGTTCCCAGCAACACTTTATACACTGCTTGTCCCCTCTTTCTGTTAACTTGTAAATTTCCATGGCGTAAAATTCTTTAGGTTGATCACAAAGCCAAATTTGCACCTGATTTTTTACCTCTTCATTGGAACGAATATGTTGATGTTCCCACGTTAGGGGTCCAAACAGATGGAAGTCTGATAAGAAAAGGTCTGGGCTGAAGAGAGGGAGTGTAGAAGGATCCCCCATCCCAGTTTCTGAAATTTTTCTTTCGTCAACTGTTCCGTATGTGGACGGGCGTTGTCATGAAGCAAAATCAAATCACGGCTTCAGTCAAGGTGGCCCATCGTGTTTCGTCAAATTGCAGGCCTTATCTTGTTTTTCATCATACTGTAGTTCTGGCTGTTGATTGTTCAGCCTTCAAGCAAGTCACAATAAATTGGCTCCTGAAAATCCCATAATACTATAAGAATTTACCAGCAGATGGCTGGATCTTGAATTTTTTTTTCATCATACTGTAATACTGGCTGTCGATTGTTCAGCCCAGGGGTGCCCACAGGGGGGTTTGATGTCGCAAAATGTGACATCAGAAATTTATTTGGGGGGGATTCAAGCCAGTGGTTGGTTAAAAGCACATAAAAGATTAATCATATAATTTTTACGACCTCCTTAATTTATTACTGGGGTAATTATGCAATCAAAATCCCGTTTGACATTTTATCTTGATTAATAAATCATTTTATAATTGCTATAAAATATATAGATACTTTTATGTGGATTTCCACTTTCTGACTCGTATCATGTTTGACAGTGAGAACAACTCCATGCCTTGAGGACCTATTGATGGTTTTTTAGGTTTGTTTATTATAATATATAGCTTGATTCATAAAAAACCAGTATTATGATAATGATAATCATTTTGCTTTTTTTACAACATGAAAGCTTGTGATAATATTTTCGCTCTCCCAAATAATTATGCCTGGGTCATTTATTCATTGGAAGAAATTGAAATACAGTACTGTGACAATTTAATTAAGGCTTTTGATAGGCTATGTGTTTACGTTAACTTCAAGAATCGAAACACATGATTCTGGATTAATTAAATTGTATTTGATATTGTCTTTTCTTGAATCTAGAAAGAGCATCAAACAAATGTTACTAGTCTTAGAATAGATATATAATTATTTTTTACGCCACACTACTCTATTTTGACGAACTTCCCATGCAAGGATTTAGTCCAGAAAACAGCTGTTTGTCGCCAGCTTAATCAAATGGGGTTTCATACAGTACTACTGTACTGTAATGAGTTTTGCCGGACACCAATCAGCTGATAATACTGTATTTGGGTGGCAATGAGTGGTTATAACAAAAACATAACCTCTCTTAGAGGTTATGACTAGTGATTTTTAGTCCTTTAGTTGCTGGTGGTAATGTATAAGGATTTGAACTGATTTAGTAGTATAGCGTAAACTATCGTACGTCACTCGTCCAAAATTTGTTGGCCGGACTCGTATAAAAAAACCACTACTCGACTTCGTCTCGCACGGGATTCAGGACTAGTAACGTAATATACTATTTTACCACACTATGATGTTTTTAACTGTTTTACATATAGATACATTAATTGGTGGCTGAAAGTTACGTTTTGCAGGCCATGCCAGCTGTCATCGTCATTCGGGGATTGAGCAGGTTTTTACATCCCTAGGGCCGCAAAATCAGCTGCCCGCTTACTTTCTTAAAACATGAATGCATATTAAATACACAATCAGTATCCATAGCATTGCAATAGAGTTGTTTTATTGTCACCGCTGCCTAGCAACTATTTATTATTATTTTTGCTGATTCCTCAAATTATTTATCCACATGACCTTAAAGTTGTAGTTGTTTGTGTTGATTATATCAGTGTGCAGTGCATTATCATTGAGGTGAATTAGTGGTAATAGGGTATAGTGTGGTGAATAATAGCGTTCGTACCACGGACTGAAATGGTTTTGCAGTTCTCGATCGTTTTAAGTCCTCGACTTCGTATCGAACTTAAAAACTATCTCGAACCAGCAAAACCTCATTTTTGGCCCTAGGCACGAAATATACTATTAAGTTTAGGCCTAGTAATATTTTTGAGACTGAAAATTTTACACTTATTTAAAAAGGACGAAACTCAGAAGTGGATTAAAGGGCAATTTAGAAAATATCGCAAACTTTTTGACATAACTTTAAGTACTTTCTCCCCTACAATTTAATATGGTAAAAGAATTGTTTAAACCCTGATCCCAAAAAAGTGGTTTTCGAAGTGTTGTGTTTGTCTGTCTGTATGTGTGTATGTATGGTAATGGTACAGAGCTACAGACCACGCCTATGGTCCGAGTCCGATTTTGATGAAATTTGGTATTTTAGGTACCTACCAATCCATGGTCTCTCCAGATGTTTTTTTTTTTCATTTTGGATTTTTAATAGTGATATTCCATAAAACCCTATAAAATAAAGGATGAATAAAATTTTCTCAGAATTGGCCCGAACGATTTTGATTAAAAATTAACATGTTATACTTTTTGACTATGGCAAAAATTGTATAAACCCTCTATGCCGTAAAAATTATGGTTCAAAAGTTATTGCAACTTTTGTGATTTTCCCTTTTAAAACCTATTAACTCACGGAAAATCGGATTAAAAAAAAACTACATGGCCAATTTTGATTCAAATTGTGTGCATGTAAAAAATCCAACTCATTTAAATTAAAACTAAACTAAAAAATAGTTTGCTACTAGAGTTATAAAGCAAAATTGTCCATTTAAATTGGGTTAAAAGTTTGATTCAAATGCTTAAATTCCCATAAATTTAAAGAAGTGTCGGGGGCACCCCTTCCCTCCCCGCATTATAAACATAACTATGGGTTAGCCCCCAGACCTTCCGGCATGGGTTAAACAACGAATTTGGGGGGGATTCTGCGACGTGAGCTTTGGGGGGGATGGGCACCCCTGGTTCAGCCTTCAAGCAAGTCATAATAAATTGGCCCCTGAAAATCCCAGAATGTAAGAAATTTCTACAATGTTTTAAAAATTGTAGAAATCCTTATCATTAAGACCGTTTCAAACAGGATGACGGAAATAGTATCCATTGTTTTGTTATGTGTAGTTTATGTGGTAGTTAAGTTTTAAAATGAAGTACTACATGTCCAAGCCTATTTTAATATTCTTTTAATAAATAACCCCGCTGCAGCAAACCTGCCGACTAAGCAAATTTCCATTTCCCTGGATTGATTTTCAATTAATCTATTAAATTAACATTTATGTTTAACGAGTTCCTAGGTTACCACAGAGGGGAACTAATTGAGTGTGTTTTTTATTAAAATATCAATAGCTTAGTATGAAATAAATAAATCCGTCAAGTTTGATCAAAACATATCTATAAACAAGCCAACTACAACATTTTACAATATTCTCCATAAGAATAACATAAGAATCTTGTATATTAAAAAATTTGGTTTTTCTTTTCCGAGTTTGTTTGGCTCTTCTACCCGACTGATTTTCATGATTGAGGTCTCAAATTGAAGGTATGCACGCACAGATTTGCCATCAAGCATCGGCATATTTTTATCTATAATCCCACTCAGCTTATACTTAAACGAAATTTGCTCCCCATGTATTTCTTATGGGAGTGACATTTTGTTTTCCTTTTCCGAGTTCGTTTGGCTCATCTACCCGACCGATTTTCATGATTAAGGTCTCAAATTTAAGGTATGCACGCACAGATTTGCCATCGAGCATTGGCATATATTTCTCTATAATCCCACTCAGCTTATACTTAATTGGAATTTGCTCCCCATGTATTTCTTATGGTAGTTAAGTTTGGTTTTTCTTTGCCGAGTTCGTTTGGCTCTTCTACCCGACTAATTTTCATGATTGAGGTCTCAAATTGAAGATATGCACACACAGATTTGCCATCAAGCATCAACATATTTATGTATAATCCCACTCGGCTTATATGTGTAATGAAAGTAAACCCAGATTAATTGTAATTAGAATATAAACAAAGCTGAGTATTTACTAATAACATATGACAGTAAACATATTAAATAATCAATCATGTGAGTTAAGTTTAGTTGTATTTATCATTGACTGTAGATTTTATTCACTACATTCTCCCCTCCTAGATAGAGAATAGTCTTTCAGGTATTTTGGAGGATATCTGATTCTTGATGTTCGCCTTAGTGTTGCTTGACCATCACTTAAACTATTCAACTGGTCAGCTTTGGTCTGGTTGGTGTTTAGTTGAGATTGATAGACAGTTGGAAGTGACTGAACATGTGTGTTCAGTTGCTGTTGTTTTGTCTGAGAGATGGTGTCTTCATTTATGGTCAAATGACATTCTTCCCTGATGTCAGCAAGCTCAGGTTCATCTACACTTTGCTCCGTACACTCTTCAGAACGGTTTGTGAGCTCAATGTCTCCCCTTGGAGCCAACTGTCTAAGAGAGACTGTCTTTTCTTCTCCATTTTTTTAGTCGTATTGTTGCGTAGTTAGGATTAACGTCAATCAGATCAACTTCGTCAACCAATGGATCATATTTACTTTGTCTAACATTTCTTTTCAATAATACTTTTTGGGATTCAAGAAGCCAAGTTGGTAAGGACTGACCGTTGGAGGATTTTCTCGAATGAATAAACATCCGTTCATGTGGAGTCTGGTTTGTGGCAGTGCATAGAAGCGAACGAATAGCGTGCAGGGAATCATTTAATACAAGTTCCCAATTATGTACTGAAAGATTGCGACTTTTTAACAATAGTGTAATTGCTTTCCAAATTGTACCATTATACCGCTCGATTTGACCATTTCCTTGTGGGTTATATGGCGTGGTTCGGCTTGTCGCTACACCTTTAGTGT